TGTGAAAACCATTCTATCTAGTCTGAAGAAGAAGGGAAAGCTAAGTGACACAGGTGGTATCTAGTGTTGATGTTTAAGGTGTGGAATCGGCCTGTTCAAGAATGTTGATTGCTGGTATGGAAGCTGCCTGTTTAAGGATGTTGATTGCTGGTGTGGAAGCTGCATGTTCAAGAATGTTGATTGCTGGTATGGAAGCTGCCTGTTCAAGGATGTTGATTGCTGGTGTGGAAGCTGCCTGTTCAAGGATATTGATTGCTGGTATGGAAGCTGCCTGTTCAAGGATGTTGATTGCTGGTATGGAAGCTGCATGTTCAAGGATGTGAATTGCTGGCGTGGAAGCTGCCTGTTTAAGGATGTTGATTGCTGGTGTGGAAGCTGCCTGTTCAAGAATGTTGATTGCTGGTATGGAAGCTGCCTGTTTAAGGATGTTAATTGCTGATGTGGAATCGGCCTGTTCAAGAATGTTGATTGCTGGTATGGAAGCTGCCTGTTCAAGGATGTTGATTGCTGGTGTGGAAGCTGCATGTTCAAGGATGTTGATTGCTGGTATGGAAGCTGTCTGTTTAAGGATGTTAATTGCTGGTGTGGAATCGGCCTGTTCAAGAATGTTGATTGCTGGTATGGAAGCTGCCTGTTCAAGGATGTTGATTGCTGGTGTGGAAGCTGCATGTTCAAGGATGTTGATTTCTGGTATGGAAGCTGCCTGTTCAAGAATGTTGATTGCTGGTGTGGAAGCTGCCTGTTTAAGGATGTTGATTGCTGGTGTGGAAGCTGCATGTTCAAGGATGTTGATTTCTGGTATGGAAGCTGCCTGTTCAAGAATGTTGATTTCTGGCGTGGAAGCTGCCTGTTTAAGGATGTTGATTGCTGGTGTGGAAGCTGCCTGTTCAAGGGTGTTGATTGTTGGTATGGAAGCTGCCTGTTTAAGGATGTTGATTGCTGGTGTGAAAGCTGCCTGTTCAACAATGTTGATTGCTGGAGTGGAAGCTGCCTGTTTAAGGATGTTGATTGCTGGTGTGGAAGCTGCCTGTTTAAGGATGTTGATTGCTGGTGTGGAAGCTGCCTGTTTAAGGATGTT